ATAGAGCAACCCAGAAGTGCAAATAGCTTCATAAAGCTTTGACTGCGCCATACGAAAGGTATTTTTTCCAAGTTTTATTTTCTGAAAATGTAAACAGTGTGAAAGGTCCCGAACATGAATGGTGTTATATTTTACTTGGAAAGAGAATGCTTTGTTGATAGGAAAGATGCCCAAGCTTGGGGAGGAAGATTCATTCACGCTCATTTGTATTCAAAGCATATGTCTTTGGATTTCCAAGAGCAGAGCGAGCTGAAGCGGAATCTAGGTGCCAGCATACATACTTTACAGAGATTACCAAGCTCTCATATCATTTTCACGTTTTCCCATGGTTTATATAGAGATCTTTGTCTGTGCAAACCTTTGAGGTAAGGACAAAAATCGTTTTTAACAGTTATGGTTATGCAGAGAACAAGGCCAAAGTCTTGCTCTTAATAGCTTGTGTTTTGCTAGAAACAACTTAACAAGTGATGTCTTGAGATGGGACTCCATGCAGGAGGAAGTCAGACAGGGTCAGGGCATGGAGCACAGATGAAGTGAGGGGGAGAAGGGTAGTTTTAGGAACATTTTGTTTAGAAGTCTTTTATTTTAAAAAAGTATACTTTATAACAATTTCACATATGACATTTTCATGTATGTCTAAATACTTTGAATTTATGTCATGACATTATCATACATGTACATAATAGACCTTGATCTAACCCTCCCACCACCACTGCCCACTCTTGCCTGCTCTTCTTCACCCCAGCTCCTTTCAGAAACCATTATACAGATAACTGTGTTGTTGAGACGTGGTGGAGCATGCTGTCCTGTCAAACACGGGGCTAAGCCTAGCTCAGTGACAGGAGTGGAGAGGGCTTGGCTTTAGCTGTTGGTGTAACACCCTCCCACCCCTCCCCCGCACTCTGACCTGCTCCCAGGCTGCGCAGCTCCACCCAAATCTTATTCTCACCATCACACACAGATCTCAATCCTCTTTTGCTCCTGGTGCCTCCTAAGTAAACTGCCCCCTGCCTGCTTCCCCTCTGGGTTGAGAGCTGCGGAGGCATGGTTCTGAGTTGTCACCACAGTCCTTCCAGTGGCAGGCTGTCCTGGACACCGCGGTGTCGTTGTTGGGAACACCCTCCATCTCCATATGTTAAAGGTAGCTTGTCATTCCCACAGCGCTTTGGAGCTGTTGTCCTTACCTTATGGGTTAAGCCTAAGAGGAAAGGCAGGTTGCTGGTTTCATAGGCAAATCCGTTTGATTTCTGAGCATGTGAACATTTTGTCACAAACATGGTCTGCTATAGTGAAATGTGTTCAATTTGTTCATAAAACTGTATTATGTCAAAGCAGATGAGCAGAGGTAGGTGTGTGTGTCTGTGTGTCTGTGTGTGCACGCGTGCACACACACGCTTGTGTGCATGCCTGTGAGATTTACCTCTTTTGTTTAGGGAGGCCTGCTAAGTTGGAGATTTGACCTTATGTGTCTCTTACTATAGGATACATGTGTTTATCATATGTTTTCTGAAAATATCTGTTCAGTTGAACTTTTGCAAAAAGTAACATGACCAGGGTTAGGTACGGTAGTCCATGCCTTTAATCACAGCAGAGGCAGGCAGGTCTGCGAGTTCAGAGCCATCATGGTCTATGTAGCAAGTTCCAGACCAGCCAGGGCTACATAGTGGATGATGACAATAATAATATATTCATTGAAAAGTAGGAGAGACACAAGTGAATTAACTTGACTCCTGCTAATAGACACTAAATTGCCCATTTCCTTCAGAGGACGTCACTTTGAAAGTATATACTCTCAGAGTAAAATCTCTCATTTTATACTTTTCAGGAATATTGCTTCCTTTGATCCAACAGAAAGTTTAGATGCATTTACATTTCCCTCATATTTATGCCGCCTACATTTTATCTCCTGCATTCTTGCCAGCTCTGAGCTTTTAATGACTTAAGTTCGATTTATCTAAATTTTTGAATTTTTTTGTCGAGCTCTTTATTAGGCCATCACATTTCTCCCATGTGGCAATTAGCACTGTAGAATAAAATTCATTGAAGTCTACTTACCCTGCCACAAGATTGGCAGGAGATCCTTAGTTCTTGCCCTTAGTGCACGACTGCAGCCTGGGCAAAGCAACAGCGAGCAGGCTTTGTCCTCCACAAGCTTACATCCTAAGATGTACAGTTTCTAGGGATGCCTAGGGAACTGGAAAATCTTAATTTGCGGTGAGCCCAAAGGAAGGTTTCTGCATGGCATTAGCCTCTGAATTAGCAGGCTGAGAACAAATCACCCTGACCCAGGTGAATGGGCACCACCGTCAACTCTTAAGGGCCCCAATACAGTAGATGGGGTGAAGGGAGGCAAATGGCGTTCTCAGTCAGAGCTGGGACATGTGTGCTCTCAGACACCAGTGCTGCTGGTTTGCAGAGCTCCAGTCTGGAACTGGCATTTCCTTCCCTCTCTCTCGCCTCCTTACCTGTCTCAGGTCTTTGGAAGGACTGAGTTGCCAGTGCCTTCCTTGACTCTCCAGCTTGTACAAGGCCCGAAGATTGAGGCCATGTTTATTGATGCCTCTATAAGAACCTGAAGCTAATTCCTGCAGTAAAGAGAGAAGAATGTATATATCTATATCTGTCCTTCAGGCTATGTGTCACTGTGGAAGCATGACTCTTGGAGATTGGGTTTTAAGGTGATATAGGAGGAGCGGAATTCTAAGGCTGCATTTTTCTGAGTTGCTTTGTGTGTTTCTAGCATTGTCTCATCTCTTGGATTTGAAACACTGATAATTCTATTCCTTATAATAAAGAGCATACTGATAGACTGTATTATGAAGTATATATAGAGATACTCAAGATGTGCCTCAGGTACTTCATATCAACCCCTGATAGGATATGAGATTCTGAGTGATTCCATATCTTCTCAGCACTTTGTAAGAGATTTGGGAAGGTGATGACATTGCTTGGTTGCTTCCAATGTCACCGGAGCAAATGCTTGTTGAAAATGATGAGCCCTGGGACGGGAATTCCCAGATCAGGCACACGTCAATGGCTTGTGTTTCTGAGTGTGTCAGGACCAGAGCCGCCTGTGCTGCACTCTCAGGCATAAATTGCTGAAAGTCAAAGTCAGAATCACTTCCCATGACTGGCTCAAGTACAGTAAGCTCCCAGCTTTTCCAGGACATCTGCTGGTAAAATGACCTTGGTTGGGAAATAGATCCAGCTAAAGTACAGGAGCTCCATCCCTTAGTGAAATATGGAAGGGTCCAGCGGTATGGGCATGTTGGGCCATCCCTTCTAAGGTAGAAGAGTAATTACATATAACACTTGCTACACCCGAGAGAGGGCCTCGTGATCCCCAGGCCTGGGTGGATTTGGAAGCCACATTCTCCCCACTGGAGTGTGTCTCTCTGGCCCATTACCGAATGGCAGGAAAACTGTTGCTAGCTTATTTCATGACTCAGAATAAAGAATGTCTCTTTCTGGGTCTACACTACTGTGCAAGTAAGTGCCTCGTGACTTCACTGGTCCGGCGGAGCTTGGGCTTGCCAGTAGCAGATGAGCAGATGGGGTGGTTGTTTTGAGCCATGTGCACAGCTCAGTAGGCAATTCATGACCCAAGGTTGTAGGATTTTGGAGCAAGGCCCTGTCAGTATCGAAATTAAAATCAATAAGATAGAAACAGCTCAGCAATAAAACTGAAACAACAATTAAAAAAAGCATTTTCTCAAAAAGAAAAACCAAGGGCTGGGTAGATTCATTGTTAGCTCCTTTTTTAAAAATTATAATATCAGCTTGAAATGAGGAGTCTGGAGCAGGCTTGCCTTTAAATATTGGCCCTGGAGTGTCCTAGCTATGTGATATTGACAATGCCACCTTTAAGAATGGCTGTCACATTCAGATCTTCCTAAGGAATGTGGTGACTTCGGATATTCTCTTCTCGGTGCTCTTCAGTTAGGAAGAGGGGAAGTGTCTAGAATAAAACCAGATGACCAGAAGTAGCCTTTAATTTTGTTTAGAGACTCAAGTCTCTAAGTAGGTTGGGAGGGTCAAGGAAGCAAACTACGTTCAGAGAGAAGGGCAGACTAGGAGCATGCGCTAATGGTCATCAATTGTTCAGAGTGCTTGGGTCATTTAGAGAATGAGCCGTTAAGTGTCCAGCAATCAAGAATGATTTCATAGAACCCGTGGCAGAAGAGTGGCTGGTCAGCTAGCCTTTCCGCCCATCCTCCCATGCCTTACTGTGTGTACATTGCGTTGCAGTGTGAATTTTAAGGACTCTACTTACAGGTCCTGGGTTAACATCTTTAGCAGGTGCTGTAGACCCTTGCCTTCTGTCTTGCATGTGACTAGTGCAATTTCAGTGACAAGCATAGAAAGTTCAATGATGACCCTGAGATTCAATTTCTTAAATGCTAGTATATTTTTTCATTTAAAACTGAGATTTTACTACCTGGTCCTGGTTGTCCTTCAGTAGCATCAGGACTGGAGCAGCTGACTACCCAGACTGAGTCTGTGATCTCCACAGAACAGATCACCTTTCTGGAGGCAGCACCCTCCCTGCCTCAGCTGCCTTGCCGCTCTCTATAAGTAAAGGGGAATATAATAAACCTGTTAGTATTTCTGTAAGTCCAGGTGAATCCTTTTGTTAATGTCCCCTATCTACATATATGTTTAGTTTCCTAAAAGGACCCTAGTAGATGAAGTCATATTATTTTTATGAGAGACAATATTATGCCTTCCTGCCAGCATTTGCTTGTTTAATATGATTCAGCTGTGTATTATAAGTGTCTCGTGCGCAGATCCTGTATCATTTTAAATTTCTGACTTCTACATGTTTATCCATGGGCTTTCATGGACTATTTAAAAGTAAATTTGATCCCTAGCATGGAAAAAAGAGCAAGACTTAGTCGGACATTACCTTTCATCGGTATTAATTTTTCCAGACAAAGTAAAAGTGAACCATACACTTCCACATCTATTTCAGAAGCTCTGCCCTCTCCTGGTGTGGAGAGCAATGGATTAGATGTGCCCTTTCTTTTGTGTGTCGTTCTCCTGAGATCATAGGCTCTCCTTGGGGAGCACATCCCAAGCCTCCGTTGTCCTCCCTAACTCCTTCAAAGTAATCAGTAAGTAGTTCTTGATGCCTGTGCTCAGGAGAAGCCTCTGGATGTATTTTTTAGTGCCTTGGTGACAGTGAAGATTGAATACCTGTGCCCTCACTCGTGACAGCTACCTAAGGAAGCAAAATAAAGTGCCTTGAAACTCTTAAAGATAGGTGTGGCGAGACCGCTCAGTATTTAAGAGCACTGGCTGCTCTTGCAGAGGACCAGGGTTCGAAATCCAGCACCCACAGGGCAACTCTCAACGTGTAACTTCAGTTCCAGGGAAGCCAATGCCCTCTTCCAGCCTACGCAGGCATCAGGCACGCACATGGTACAGATACATACATCCAGGCAAAACACTTACACACTTAAAACAAGGATAAATCTTAAAAATGAAAGGCCTCCTGTTTACGGGATTAGGAAGAGGCAGAGTATCTTCCTGCCATTAATCTACAGATCTGAAGCAATCTCTCTATCATGAGTCTGTCGATGGGTGTACACAGGGTGTACAGAGCCACGAGCAGGCAGGCAGGAAGGCAGTTCACACACATAGAGCAATGAGCACAGCCAGGAGCCTCAGAAGAGGAGACAGTTGTGTGTGTGTGTGGGGGGGGGTATGTAGAAGGACAAGCACCATGAGCAAACCAAATACTGGAACTTGCTCTGTGTATAAACAGCCTTGCACCTGTGATCCGACCGCCATATCAGGGCAGGTGTTCCACAGTGATCAGGAACTGACACCTCCTGCCTAGGATGTGGCGCAGGTGTTAGGAAAAATGCCACAGTCTGTTGAGCTGATGGCAGATTCTGAGAAGATACTGGTCCACTTCTTCCACTCCAGAGAACTGACCAAAAGGACCACCTAGCAGGCAAATTGTAATTGATGTCTAAGATTTTGGCTTTCTTTCTTTCGGTTCTTAGATTATTTGACATGTTTGCTTGTAGGTGACGGAAAAGACATTCAGGGGCAACTGTATCCTAAACACAAGGCGTCAATGAACTTGGGGGTTAGTTTTCATTTATTCTTATGTTTTTCCAGACCAGCCTCTAACCCGTTATCCTCCTGTCTCAGCCCCTGGAGTTACCGTACAGTTTGAAGAGTGGGAGAGACACTAATTAAGCAGCCTTGGTGACATTGCCACCGCTCCTTCTTTCAGACTCAGAACTTGCCTTGATGTACAACGACTCCTCCGTCCTCGAGAACCACCACTTGGCCGTGGGGTTTAAGTTGCTCCAAGAAGAAAACTGTGACATTTTCCAGAATCTGACCAAAAAGCAAAGACAATCTTTAAGGAAAATGGTCATTGACATTGTAAGTACCTAACAAAACTGATTCACGTTCTTAGAGATGATAACGGCGCTGGGTTTGGGACGTGGACCTGTCAAAACTGCCTCTGCTGCCCCTGGCAGTGTTCCACTAGAATAGCATCTCTGTTCTTAACAGTTGGGATTTAAGATTTGCAGCATCAGTCAGACCCCTGCAGGCTCCCTGATCTCTGCAAGCCCCCCTGAGTCCTGGTCAATTGATTCTCTGGGCCTCCTTCTCACAGTGTCCCTGACCCCCCTGGTTCCTCCGATCCTTCTCCCCCTCCTCTGCAGAATTCCCCAAGCTCCACCTAATATTTGGTGTTATGACTGAGTAGCTTCGTATGCTTATGGGATTCCCAACAGAGGAGCAGGGAACTGTCTCTGACTCTTGCCTACTTGTGGGGACCCTTTTCCTCCTTCTGGGTTGTCTCCTCCAGCCCTGATGTGATGCCATGTGCTTAGACTTATTGCAAATAGCTATGCCATGTCTGAGTGTTAGGTTGATGTCCCTGGGAGGCCAGCTCTTTTCTGAGAGGAAGTGGAGGGGTGTGAATCTGGCGGAGAAGGGAGGCAGTGGGGAGAGACTTGAGGAGAGGGGAGGGAGGGGGAAACTCTGGTCAGGATATAATATACGAGAGGAAGAAAAACCAAAAGACTCAGTGCTTGGGCTGTTTTCTTTGCTTCTCTTGGCCAGTGACAGGCAGAGAAGAATGACTAAGCAAATACAGGCCATTCCCTGCAGCTCCAACAGAGTCTGTCCACCTCCCACCCACACAGAAATCCCCTCAACTAGACTCTTTTCCCTGCGTACATTATTCAGAGGAATCTCTGGGTACTATAAAATTATACTTAATTTTTTAAAAAATTTTTATTTAAGCATTCATCTTACAGTTTATTCTTCTTTTTACAAATCAATCCCAGTTCCCCTTCCCACCTCCTCTACCACTCCCCCCACCCTATCCCCCACCCTATCCCCCACCAGCTCCTCAGAGATGGTAAGGCCTCCCCTGGGAAGTCAATTAAGTCCATCCCATCACCTCCTTAGAACAGGACCAAGCAGCTCCTTACTCTCCCCCTGCCTCCTTGTGCCTAGGCTAAGGTATCTCTCCATAGAGAATGGGCCCCACAATAGCATTATATTTAAATTGCACCTATTAATTTGTTTGGGTCTGTGTGCACACACACACACTCCCTGGTGTTCCGGTGGACTCAGAGGATGGTTTGTGGGAGTCAGTTCTTTTCCTTCCACCACCTGTGTCCTAAAGATCAGATTCAGAACATCAGCCATGGTGACAGGCACCTTGACCCACGGAGCCATCTCGTCAGCCCCAGCATACCCTTTTATTTTTATGCTTTGTTGTTCACAGGGAGACGTCATTCATCCTAGACCACCAAAACAAACTAACCCGAATACTTTGTATCCCACGTGCATCTGAGTAGCTCTGAATCAGCTAGGGAAGTACAGTAATGGCTGCCTAGTTCAGAACAAGCACAGGAAATACGATGGTGTACTTACCTTGAAAGTGGTGGCCGGGTACTTTTAGGTTTCTGTGTTGTATATGTGTTTTCTGGGCTCCGGGAAAACTTGAGAGCCAAGAGGAAAAGAGCTCCCCGAGGTGTTTTCTCTCTTCCTTTTCAGACTCAAAATAATTTCTCTGTCCATTGGCAGTTTTGTTTTTCCTTTCGGCCTTCTTCCCTCATGAAACAATCTTTGCCCTGCCAGGTACTTGCGACAGACATGTCAAAGCACATGAACCTGCTGGCTGATTTGAAGACGATGGTAGAAACGAAGAAGGTGACAAGCTCTGGAGTCCTCCTCCTTGACAACTATTCTGACAGGATCCAGGTAAGTCAGCGTCTGTGTTTGCTCGTTCTGCGCATGTCAGTGACTCTGCATAAGCCAGGAGCTGTTTCTTCTCTCTCCCATCTCATATGTCCAGAAGCTACAGGCAGGATCTCTCTCTTTTTTATTGAGAAATGTGGTTTTCGTACAGTATTTTTCTGATCATAGCTTTCCCTCCCCACCTTCATCCCAAACCTGCCTCCCTACCCACTCAACTCCCAAGTCCATTTCTCCCTCTCATTTAGAAATCAAAACAAAACCAGAATTGAAAAGAAAAATACAAGAAACATACAAACAAAATCCATACAAACACACAATTAGAAGTCATAATATACAAACAAAAGACAGATAAGACAAAGAAAAAGGTATCCAGTCCTTTGTACTTAAACAGGTAAAATCTTATTGACCTGTTCATTTGCATATACACTAACAACAAGTTAACATCCAAAGACCAGCCATTTGAGCATCTGTGAAATTTGATAATTCATGAACACAGTGTCTCTCATGACACTTAGGTGCAGAAGTGGCATAATTCAGAACTATTAATACATATTAATAATATGTTAGCCACAGAGCCCCTCCCTACCATGGTTGAGCCGTTTGTAATAAACCTGACACCACTGTATTTCTAAGTGTCACGGTCACCTGATACAGATGCCGAGTAAAGCATGCCTCCGCCCGCCTTAGGTCCTGCAGAATATGGTGCACTGTGCAGATCTGAGCAACCCCACGAAGCCGCTCCAGCTGTACCGCCAGTGGACGGACCGGATAATGGAGGAGTTCTTCCGCCAGGGGGACCGGGAGCGGGAACGTGGCATGGAGATCAGTCCCATGTGTGACAAGCACAACGCCTCTGTGGAAAAATCACAGGTAAAGCCCCAACTCGGAGAACGGGCTGAGCCGCAGCTGAAGCGGTTGACTGTTCTAGCTTCACCTCCACCTCCCTGCATTTTGTTTTTCTTTTTGTTAATTAATTTTAATTTGGATTTGGCATGGTAGATTTCACTGCTGTTGATGAGCCAAAGACTCTTAGGATTTACAGTGGCACAGCCACACATATTTTACTATAATTCATTCACGTGACTATATTCATCTAATGTACTTCTGTACATAGAATACTTGGCTTATTTCAGTTATCTGGGTTCTCTGCAAATTGACTGTTCTCAAATAAGGTCCAGGCCCCAGGCCCTACTATGTAAATAACTGAAAAAAATGAGAATGAAATGTATGCCCTGGCAATGCTGACGCATGCATGGGCAGCTCATATATGGCGGTTCTCTTGAACTTGTCCCTATTGGGTTTCATGGTCTAAGTTGATGACAACGGACCAGGTCTCTTCCTCAAGAGGGCACCAGATCTCATTACACATGGTTGTGCACCACCATGCGGTTGCTGCGAATTGAACTCAGGACCTTTGGAAGAATAGGCAATGCTCTTAACTGCTGAGCCATCTCCCCAGCCCATGTAAATAACTAGTATTCTCTATATTGTAAGCATCCCTTGAACTAAGAGTTCTAACTTTGGCCAGCTAGTAACCACACTTCACCATCTGTTGACTCCAGTAGTGACGAATTTACCCAACCCAAGTTAGTAGTCTTCTATGCAGCATCGGTGGGGAACCATGGTTTGGTTGAGCCTTTTCGAGGTTCTCAGTCCCCACTGAATTTCTTTTCTTTTATGACCAGGTGGGCTTCATAGACTATATTGTTCATCCCCTCTGGGAGACATGGGCAGACCTCGTCCATCCTGATGCCCAGGACATTTTGGACACTTTGGAGGACAATCGTGAGTGGTACCAGAGCACAATCCCCCAGAGCCCCTCCCCGGCACCCGATGACCAAGAGGAGGGCCGGCAGGGCCAAACTGAAAAATTCCAGTTTGAACTAACCTTAGAGGAAGACGGCGAGTCAGACACTGAGAAGGACAGCGGAAGTCAAGTAGAGGAAGACACTAGCTGTAGTGACTCCAAGACGCTGTGCACTCAAGACTCGGAGTCCACGGAAATTCCCCTGGATGAGCAGGTCGAAGAGGAGGCGGTAGCAGAAGAGGAGGCAAGCCAGCCTGACACTTGTGTCATAGACGATGGTTGTCCTGACACGTAACAGTGTAAAAGACTGTCCCACTTTTTTTTTCTTTTTTTTTTTTTTAGTAGAAAAATTGTTTCCAAAGTGCATGTCACATGCCACAACCATGGTCACACCTCACTATCATCTGCCAGGACGTTTGTTGAACAAAACTGACCTTGAACTACTCAGTCTGGCGCTCAGGAATACCGCAACCAGTTCTTTCACCTCCATGTCATCGGAGCAAGGGGGGGAACGTCGTCACGGACATGACTTTGACGTGATTTCAGCTTGGCAGAGCTGACAAGGCAGAGAAAATCGACTCCAGCTGTTTTCGAGGGAGCTCGGCTCATCGGGCTGCCCCCAAAGTAGATGCAGGTGGCAGGATTCCTTCCGGGTTTGTGTGCAGAAATTTTAAAGAAGAGAGAAGGCATTCGAGGGACGGAGTAAACTCACTGCTGAAGCGATGAAAATGTCACGAACAGGACACGGCATCAGCCTGTGCCCAGGAGGAGGATGAGCCGCAGAAATTGCATAATTTTCTAATTTCAAGTCTTCCTGATACATGACTGAACAGTGTGGTTCAGCGAGCCACACTCACCTCTACGTTTTGTATGATATGTAAAACAGATTTTTTGTAGAGCTTACTTTTATTATTAAATGTATTGAGGTATTATATTTAAAAAAAACTGTTCAGAACTTCATCTGCCACTGGTTATTTTTTTTTCTAAGGAGTAACTTGCAAGTTTTCAGTACAGATCAGTGAGACACACTGGATAAATCTCATTTACAAATTTTACTTGCACCTTAGAGTTCATAGCAATCAGACTGATTTGTAGTGATCTCTTGTTTTATATACCAATGACTTCCATAACCTTAAAACAGAGAAACAACTTTCTGTTGCCGGAAACCCGTTTTGTAAGTGTCGGTTGACTCCGCCTCTTATTTCAGTCCTCCCCCCCAGCCCCAACCAGGAGAATCGCTCCCCATCACTGCTTCCTCCACGGTGTGCGAAGTGAGTATTTATTCTGTAATCCTTTCTGTGTGCATTCTGTCAAATGTGTCTTAAGCCTCCTGGAAGCTCAGTCCTCAGTTGGTGTTGTCCGAAGTAAATGGGCGATATAGAAATACACCCAGTAGCCGAGAGTCCGGCTTTTTCAGGCATCTTCCTACCTACTGCCTTCTGATGCCTTTTTCTTTTTTTTTTTCTCTGTCCCTTACAGTCACGACACATCCGCCCATCACTCTACTGTTGCTCACAGTCGGGTACAATAAGAGAGACATTTGTCCTTCATGCCGCACTGTCTAATGTGTGTTCCAGCCTCTGCCCGTGTCAAGGGTGTCAGTGTCGCTAGGGTTGATGTTCATTTCTGCCACACGGTTCTGTGTCATCACTAGCTTTTCCTCTGGGGTTGCGGAGGGAAACAAGCTAAGTGTGCACACGCAGTTCTGAAGAATGCTAGCAGACTCTCTCAGCCCAGGACCAGGACAACTGTGGTTTGAACATGGACATAAGTCCTCCATGAGGAGTGTCCCTGGAAAGTCACTCTCAGGGTAGCAGCTCCTCTCCCTGAAAATTGCCATCAATATTATTGCTCCATGAGCTTGCCCTATAGGAAGGACTACTTCAGACACAGAATTGATGGTGCCACTGGCATCAGGGCAGGGTAGTTATACAATGCAATCTAAAACCTTAGATTGACAGATTCTGCCTCAATACAATATTAAGAGGGAATTCCAGATTTCAACCATGGAACTTCATTGATTTTTATATATTAACTCCCAGTGTTAACTTGCTGAGCGTGGTTCACCTCAGGCAGCATATGTATAGTCTATGTATAGATCTTAGGTGGATCCTCGGAGTTTGGAGCCCCTGTTATTTTTTCTTTTTGGCATCCAAATGGGGAGTAAAAGGGAGCGTGGTATATAACTAAATGAAAAATGGTAAGTCTGAAAAAAACACACTTAAAACTTCTCTAGGAAGCTGTGGGCTGGTCACTGGGAAAGTAAGTCGTCAGCCAGGGAAATCACCCATGCTGAACCGAAACCCTGCTTCAATCTCTTTAGTCCCAAGGATGCTTAGAACCTTTGCTACAAAAAAAGGTTTCTGATCTTTACCATAGGACAGGATACGAATCAAATAACTGACCGCTAGAGTGCCAGCTTCCCTTCCTTGTAAAGAGCAAACGGAGAATAATCCGCCTCGTGTGACCAGACCTTTCACAAGACATTTGGGCACCTGTTTCTCTTTTCTTTTTATGCATCCCTGAAGGGGCTCCCGAAGGAAGGGCAAAGAGTCTAGAGTCGATTCCCCCTTCCTAAATCATCCTCGCTCCTTTCCCTCCCTCCACGTGGCATTTCCCCCCCCCCCCCCCAGAGTGCCTGCAGCCTTCACAATGAAAAGAACAGCAGTATGTTATAAAGAGATCCGTACCTGCCAGGGTTGGTAACCGCACTAATGGAGCCTGCGTTGGTTCTTAACGGCACTGTGTTACAACGGCAGCCAGCGATGGACAATCAAGCTCTAGCAGACACATAATATCCAAGGAGTTAGAGACTAGCGTCCTATACCTACTGTCTGTTCGCCACCCCTACCCCTTTACTGTGTCCCCTTGCTCACTCACTCTCCCACCAAGGTGTGGCTCACAATACACACTGCATTAAAAAGAACATCTTTATACAAGTGGCTTTATTTCCTAAAATGCCATAAGAAAATGCAATATCTGGGTACTGTATGGGGGAAACCAAGTCCAAGTTTGCATAAAACCAGTACATTTCAGCTTGCAAGTTACTGAGGGCGATAACGCTGTTTTTGTTTGGTTTTCATTCACATCAGTTCTAAAATACGAGTAAACCGTATCGATAGAACAAACTGCAGATAAGGAAAGAAAAAAACTTGAATGAAACAGATTTTACAGAAAGCTTTATGATAATTTTAATGCATTATTTATTTTTTTGTGCCATGCATTTTTTTTCCTCACCAAATGACCTTACCTGTAATACAGTCTTGTTTGTCTGTTTACAACCGTGTATTTATTGCAATGTACATAATGTAATGTTAATTGTAAATTATCAGTTCTTATTAAAACATCGTCCCACGATGGGATGGTGTTGACATATTTGGAAACTCTTGGTGAGAGAATGAATGGTGTGTATACATACTCCTTGTACATTTTTCTTTTCTTCTGTAATATAGTCTTGTCATCCTAGAGCTTGTTTATGGAAGATTCAAGAAAAAATATAAAATACATAAAGATATATAAATTTAAATATCATAGCTGCAGGTCTTTGGTCCCAGGGCTGTGCCTTAACTGTAACCAATATTTTCTTCTGTTTTGCTGCATTTCAAAGTACGGGGATAGTGGCTTGGGCTGGGCGTTTTGTATCCACACGCTTCCCTGATGGAATTCCCTGATGGGATTTCTGGCAGTAGCTGGATTTTACAAAGACTAGACATGACTGGTGGAGAACCTCCTGACACTTTTGAGATACACGCTCCTAAGCACCTGTCTCCATGGAGCACGGCTGCACGGATGGTGACTGTTTCCCAGCTGAATGCCAGGAGCCATTTCACCTGGACGTACGGCCTTGGTTCCCTTACTCCCAAACCTGTACTAGAGAAACGTTCTTCTCCAGTGATTATAGGATGACTTGTTGGCTTCTGGACCTTACAGGAAGATGAGTTTGATTTGCAACAGGAGCCATAGGTCACTCATCTTGGTTAGTCCCCTGCTCATCAGCTTCCTGTCATACCAAAAAAATTATACAATTTTCAATACTATTTTTTCCTTCAAGATCAAATTTATATATGTATAATACATACTACATATGTATAATACATATACATACACACTGTTTGAATATATACATATATATGTGTGTAAATCATCTAACTTAAACATAGTTCTGTGACAATGCCAATTCCCATAATGTAAGGAACTCATATCTCTCTGCAAGTGTTTCTGTAAAATGTCTGTCCTTGTAGGATTGTTAAGTGTGACCTTGCACAATGGCAAGTCCTGAAAGCCACGAGAGCTTCCTGGTGGAAAATGTGGCCACGTCTCACTGCAGCTCAGCCCTTAGCACGTGTGGCACAGTGAAAAGACAGATTCTTTTTTTCTAGGAAAAACGAGCCTCCTGTTATTTTATTTTTTGACACAAACTGTAGATTTTAGCAGCCCTGGCCCAAAGGAATTTGATTACTTTTGTTTTAAACAGTACAAACGGGACACTATACTTACAAAATACATCCTTACTGATTTCAGTTTTTTTTAAACTGTTTCCTTTCTTTGGGTGTGTTTTCCGCGTGGTAAGCTGTGTGTGAGCATCACAGATGGTGATTCTGTTAGTGGTTTCTTAGCCTCTCCTACAGCCCATGGGGATAGTACTGTACATCAATACCTTCATATAAAATTTTTATATGCAATGAAAATAAAAGCATGGGTTGATTCTGCCTACTTACGATTTGGTCTTTTCCAAAGAAATCATGTTTTAAATGGCACTTTACTCAGCACACATTTCCAACAGTAGTGACCATTTTTTTTGACGTGACAAGCTAGTTAGTGATCTCACGTCAGGGCAGATATTCATAACTGGGTGAAACCAAATGATGCTAATCTTTTGATATAAAAATCCCTCAGTTCATTTGTATGACATATGAGATGAAACACACTGCTTTCTAAGGAGGTCCGGGAAGGGGTCGCCTACTTTTAAATAAACCATCTGGTAGACCAGAATCTGTCACTCTGATGTTCAAGAGTTTACTTAGACGCCCATCTGCATGTGTCAAGCTTCTGGGATTTGCAGGGCAGGAGACATAGGTCTGTTTCCCCGGGGCCTTGTTCTCTGGGTGACAGAGGCATAGAATGGTTGAGGACACATGCCAGTAGAGCTGTGGTCAGAACAGGGAAGACGCTCAGTGGCGCTTGAGAGGAGGAAGGAGAGCCAGGCAGAGAAAACATTTACAAAATATCCTAAAATGCAAATGAGCTTGAGATACCTGGAGGAGAGTAAGAATAGGGAGGACGTGCAGGGCCTGGAGCCAAGAGGCCGTTTATAGTTGTCCTATGTAAAGAACATGCTGAGCTGTCACTCCGTCCTCTCAACCCATTTAATTTTCTATGTAACATCAAAAATTGATAGGCATATACCCTTATTTATAATTGTCTGTCATTCTTACCAGAATGTGGGTGGAAACCAGCAAGATCTAACCAGTACATTCCTAGCTCTTACCATAGGGCTTGGAGCACAATAGGTGCTCACTACACTGAACATAGCTACTGAGCTGATAATGCATGTACAGAAATCTTGCAACTATCCATGCTGGCTTGATTCCAAGCCCTGCCCCCGACTAACCCAAATGCAAAGATGCCCAGGTACCATCTATAAATGGTGTATTTGCTCATAGCTTGGGTACAGTATTTTATCTACTTTAAATAGTCTCTAATTTTTTTTCACAATACCTAGTACAGTATAAATACTAATAATGAAAATAGCCATAACATATAGGGAATAGTGACAAGGAAGGCCAGTTTTACACATATTCATTATATAGGTAGTGCTTATTGGAATATTTTTGGTCTTTGATGGGTAAACCCACAGAAGAAGAATTTATAGAGAAAAAGGCAGAATGTAATTCAATCTGAAGATATTTGATAATCGGAGGGAACATTTAAAACTTAATAAAAATATTACGATTTGTTTGAGTTTTGAGCTTGCTAAACCTAGATAGGGTTTAAATCTCTTTTTAGTGCTAATAAAAACTTCAACTTCTCACAAACCGTAGGATAAAAATCAACACATTCTTTATGATAAATAAAAAGTAAAGAAAGCACAAATTTGTTCCCCAGATAGTGTCCAAACCACAGGCAGCGGAATAAAAGTCATTAAATACAATATCTCAGCACTGCACAGTCCCCTCTAGCAACATCAAAGCAGTAGTCGTGTGGTGTCCGAGGGCTGCTGAGATTTCTCATTGGGTAAAGGTACCTGTTGCTAAGCCTGGAGAATGGAGGTTGACCCCCCCCCCCAGGACTCGCATAGTAGTAGCAGAGAACTGACTAACGGAGGTTTTCCTCCGACCTCCATCAGTGTGTCACGGCACTTTTACCCCTACCCGCCCCCACACAAAAATAGAAATAAATTTTTTAAAAAGACATGCCTGGTGTATTGCTTCTTCCATGGAAGCTTTCCTTTAAGTTCCCGTCAAGAGTCATGATCACGATATGAAAATCCAAAGACCCAACTCCATTCTTTTCCCTACCTGTGCCTCATGCTGAGAAGGCTAATCCCATAAGTTGAGCCTATTCACTTATTTCTCCAGGCTCAAGCTTTGGTCCACACCAGCAAAATTTTACCAACAATTATCCCAAACACATCCTCTCATTTGTAGAGAGTACTAACCAGGTCGTCTTACTTCAGTAGGTGCAGTGGTAGGGTGCAGCGGCCCCTGTCCCACGGCTCGGCTAGCTTTACCTGAAATAATTACACAGAAACTGTATTCATTTAAACACTGCCTAGCCCATTATCTCCAGTCTCTTATTGGCTAACTCTCACACCTTGACTAACCCATTTCTAATAATCTGTATGTCACCTTACCGGCATGAGTCTAGCCAGCATCCATCTCAGGAAGGGGAATCATGGTGTCTGCCTGACTCTGCTTCTTTCTCCCAGCATTCTGTCCTATCTACTCCATCTATCTAAGCTCCGACCTATCAGGCCAAACAATTTCTTTATTAATTAACCAATGAAAGCAACACCTAGAAAGAAGACCTTCCTACATCAAGTAGGCTGTCCTTGTGCCTTTTCTTCTGAAGCCAGTGACATTTCCCCACAGCACTCCCCAAATGTCCATATATTTCATGGTCAGTCAGTAGAGTAGGTACGAACCTTAGTTCATGAACATGGATATGCAGGAAATACAACATTGTCTCACCTTTAAATCAGTTCATTTATATCTTACCAAACTGATGGAAATTTCATCTCTGTGGTTATTCCACACCCCTTCTCTACACCCCCTCTCTTCCCTAATAATCAAAGCTCTCATTTCCAGGCTAACTGGGGTACCAGACTAGATAAACTGTTGTTCTCACCTTCATGGTTCTCCTGGTGGTCCTTGGAGCCTGATTTGTCTTTCAGGTGGTATTTCAGAAAATCATGCTGATTCTTGGGGCTCTGGCTTGGGGTTCTACTTCCATAGGACCCCAGAGTTCTATGTGCATAAGATGAGCCTGGCCTCCCTCCCCATGCCTCAATATTACCGACAGGGATCCAAGTATGGGGCAAGGGGTGGGACACTTTTGGTTTCCATGTTTTTGTGTCTCGAGACAAAGAATTGTACCAGGGACACATGACAAAGTAATAGAAATAGAGATGGTGTTCTAAGAAAGAAAAAAACGTTCCAAAGAGCGTATGGGCTAGTGGACTGGAGAAAGGCATTTGCTCAAAAACTACCAGGGCATAAGACTCACAACCCTTCATAGGTCATTTTCAGTGTATACCTTTCCTTGCATTTGTGTATCACAGAACTCCCTCAGGCCTATTCTGTTTGTTCCCTGCAACCAGGTAGGGAAAAGTTCCCAGTTTGCCAACTACCTTGTTTTACATTTGAATCTTGATATTATTATCTCCAGTTCCTACTTTCCTAATAGAAAGACTTATGGAAATGCATGCATGCATGCATGTGCACACATACTGCACATACACACACATGCATGCACATATATACAAACACATAGAAATAACACTCCTTTTCCTATACTGTGAGTCGTCTATCTCTAGTTCTTTATCTCCCCCCACCAGCTTTGTTCCTCAGTGGGTTTTGACTTTGAAACAAACAAGACCAGACAGGGTTATGACTTCAGTCATCGATCTCTACTATACGAAGTAGCTGGCTACTGGAATACAGAGAAGAGAAAGATCTAGGAACAGCATATATTAAACATTAATCCAGTCCATTAACTATGGTTGTTGATTGACATTTAGACCCTGTGTTGTTCACTGAAGTCTTGAGATGAGGAGGGAGTTGAGAAAATCTTCCTGAAAAAGTCATCAGACCCGCTTACACATCCTATATGGAATATGGAGGCTCAAGGGGACTACCATTCCTTCCTGAAGTATCTCTGGTCTAATTTTACCTCTGATCATCCTTTCTTTCCCCCACCTCAATTACAGGTGAAAGCACTTGAGATAGGTTTTGAAATAAGGTTTTAGCCAGTAGCCCCAGGCTGGCCTGGAGTTCATTATGTTATCCAGTATGGTCTAGAACTCAGGATAAACCTCCAACCTCAGTGTCCCAAATGTTAGAATTACCAGTGTGTGCCGATATACGCAGCACACTTGAGAATGTTAATGTTCAGAGATGAAAATCAGTAGATCCCTTTTGCATTCTCCAAGATCTCCAAGCCAATACCTTAAATGGCCTATGTAGTGACTCACCCATTTCATTGCTACAAAAATAATGATGCTAAAGAAGACTGACAACTGAGCATGACAGGTACTCACTCATAAGTGGATACTAGCTGTAAAGCAAAGGATAACAAGCCTAGGTAGTCCATGACCCCAGAGAAACTAAGTATCAAGGAGAACCCGAAGAGAAACATATATAGATCCCCTGGAAAGGGGAAATAGACAAGATCTCCTGAGAAAATTGGGAGCATTGGGGGAAGAGGGAGGAGAACTTGAGGGAAAGGGAGGGTCAAGAAGGGAGAAGGACAAACAGAAAGCAAGAAAGGAGATATCTTGCTTGAGGGAGCCATTATGGGGCCAGCAAGAAACCTGGCACTAGAGAAATTTCCAGGAATCCACAAGGATGACCCCAGCTAAGACTCTAAGCAGTAGCAGAGAGGGTGCCCGAACTGGCTTTGCCCTGTAGTTAGATTGATGGATATCTTAAATATCGACATAGACCCTTCATCCAGAAACTGATGGAAGCAGAGGCAGTGACCCACAGCAGAGCACTGAGCTGAGCTGCCAAAGTTCAGTCGAAGAATGGGAAGAGTGAGAATATGAGCAAAGTTGTCAAGACCTTGATGGAGATACCCACTAAAACAGCTTACCTGAGCTCATGGGAGCTCACTAACTCTGGCCAGACAGGGAAGGAAGCAACATAGGACCAAGACAGGCCCTCGCAATGTGGGTGACAGTTGTATAGCTGGGACAGATTGAGGTGCCACTGGTAGTGGCACCACGATTTATCCCTACTACTTGTACTGGCTTTTGGGATCCTGTTCTCTTTAGAGGGATAACTTGCTCAGCCTAGATATAGTAGGGAGGGCCTTGGTCCTTCCTCAAAGCAATGTACCTTACCCTCTCTGAGGAGTGGATGAGGGGTTGGGTTGGGGAGGTTAAGTGGAGGGAATGGGAGGAGGGGAGGGAGTGGGAACTGGGATTGGTATGTAAAATTTAAAAATATAGGGGTTTTCTTGGTTTTTTTTAAAGTAAAATTTGAAAAAAAAAA